TTGCTGGCTGGGGAATTCTGGGAGTTGAAGTCCTCCAGGCTTAAAGTTGCCAAGGTTGGACACCCCTGGTTTAAATCATTGCGGTGACTCTTTTAATGGTCTACTACTAATTCTGGAGGAACTTCCACACTGGTTTGCTCTTATAGCAGTGCTAAGCAGATCTCAAAGATTCTTGAAGTGGAAGAAATAGATCTACAGTCTGTAGATCTACATTTATAGTACATTTATAATAGTCTAAATAATCTACATTTGATTAACAGTTGGAACAGTACCAGATTCCCACAGACATATCTAACTGCATAAGAGAGGCTATTGCAGCCTTCTCCGACTTGGTGCTCTTCAAATGGATTAGATAAAACATGCAGTAAATTTACCAATTGAACCTATAAGTTGTGGATAATGAATATTATAGTCAAAACCCTGAAAGTGCCAGGCTGAGGACTCTGTGCACCTGCTTTTTTAGGGTCCTATGGCTGTTTTGAATAGCCACTAGCTTCCAATGAAGGGATGGTCCCCTAATTCTCCCCTCTCCCTATTTTTACTGAGAAACAGCAGAACAGTATTTTGACACATTCTTGAAAGAACACCGAATTAGAACTCTGTTGATTCCACAGCGATTTAGATACATAAAACCCCGATAAAGAAGGAAAGTAATCTCATGCCATTAGTTTTATTACTCTCCAGAGGAGCTCTAACTGATGTTCGCAGTTGCCGGAGAAGGCAATGGATGCGATGCCGTTCCCCAATACCCAAGATCGTGACTCTGGAACAAAGGTGAGTCAAATTTCCTGCGTCAACCCTAAGGTAGTCGGCTTCGCCTTCCCTCTCGTGAGAACCCGGACGCGCCCAAGTCAATGCATCCCGAAGTCTCAAAGGAAGGAATTCGCATCCCGGCAGGTTGGACTTGCAGCCTCGCTTAGCGAACAAAAGGAGTAAAGGCAACACCGACGCTGAGCAACGCCGGCTGCCCGGGGAGCAACCCGACGTTGCAACTGGCCCTAGTTACAAAGAGTTACAGAAGAAGCCAAAATCACTGACTTACTTCGCCTGGCTATTGGGCGTTAAGGACCCGAGCCTGGTTTCTCCCACAGGCTGGAAGCTGCTGTGATTTTCGGGCTGATTTAGTTGCTCCAGAGAAGAGGAGAAGCAGTAGTAGCAGCTGCTGGTCTGCACGGGAGGAGAGCAAAACCACCCGCGAAAAAGGAAGGCGTGCCGGAGCCGTCTTTCCGCAGCCGATTTCAGCAATCGACGCTCCACATCATCCAACCACTCCCACTTGGAGCAGGTCCGGAACGGCCGCCCGCCCCTGCTGTCTCCCCACCCCGGCCGGGTCCGGGGATTGCAAGGCGGTTCTTCCCCTGAAAGCGGAAGCAGGATGGCGGGAGCTTCGGAGGGGGCTTTCCAGGCGCTGCCCTCCAATTCTTACGGATCTCGACCGCCCTGCTGTACCTACGGGAGAATCTCATTTTCCTTCCTTTTGGCGGGGCTTCACTGGTAGCACAATAATACGGTTTTCGACTGCAACCTCCACAGCCACTTCTTGCTCCGGAGAAAGTTTAATCGAACTCGGTGTTCTCGTATGATGTTAAAATGTTATCCAAAATACATTTTAGGGTTCTATTTATCTCCTATTGTTTTAGATGTACGTGATTAAGGAAACCAAGCCTGATACTGCAGTAAAGAGTACAGTAATTGTAGCAAGAGCAGAATGATCTTATGGATATCCTTATTCAGGTTTCTTAAATCACGGTTGCGCTCCAGTTCACGTGTACTTGAAGATTTCTCGGTGCAGACAATCGTGCAGACAATTGTGCCTCTCTTTGAGGCAGGCTGTGCGGTGACGTCACAGATTTTGCGTAAGGCAAGGGCTAGTCAGGACTCGTCAGGCGTTTGTTTCTGTAAGCTGAAAGTCGGTAGACGCATACATTTAAATTATAGTTATATCCCCGTTGTATCAGTGTTTCTGATTTCGAAGAACTCTAAGGAACAACCTCGAAAAGGTTAGTCTCTTAAACTGTGGCCACATACACCTGAGTGAGTCTGCTTGTAACATTCCTACTGCAAATACTCTTCTGAGGTTTCAGTTTTTTTGTATCATGTGAACCTAAAACAAGTATTTTATTGATTTACTGAAATGCTCTAATTTATAGCATTTGGATTAAAATAATCCAAGGTGACAGCCATTTTTGAATTCAAACAATACAGTAATGTGCTGGGTGGGAGGTGGAAGGTAATATGTAATAACATCGAACCAGCCTATTTGCAGGACTACCTCTCCCCCACTGTTTTTGCCTGCTCCTTCAGGTTTAACAGGGAGGGCGTGCTCCAGATTCCCTCCATCAGACAATGTCATCTTGTTAGACCCCAGATCATGTCTGTTGTGTGGCTGATTTGTGAAACAGCACCTCCCTTAGAGATCTGTGTGGCCCCAAGTCTTCTGTAAGGCATTGAGACCTGGTTGTACACCCAGGCATTTGTGCCAGGAGGCAAGGTGAATCTCTTGCTGATGTGGCTTTTTATTTTGGGATTATTTTAACTGGGGTCTTGTGACTTTGTAGTGTTATGGTTTTAATCCTTGTGAAGTACTCCACCCAGAGTCATTATTGTGAAATGGGTGATCTGTAAATAGTTAAGTTTTGTGCTTGCTCTGAAGTTTACATCTGACCATGCCATACACCTGACTTAGGTGATTGGTAGAAAATTAGGCTTCAATTTTGTTGATCTACTACTGTAATAAAGATTTGGTTGATAGGTGTGACTTTATGGTTGCAGTCATATATCACACTAAGAAAGTATACTTTGTACAGCACAATAGACTGAAAGATTCTTTTGGGGTTCAGTGTATTCACATGAATCTAGGCAACTAGTTTAATTGAATATATTTAGTTAGCCATGGCTTAATATATTGTACAGAAAACACCAATGTGGTTTATTTAGTTAGGCATTTGTGTGTGCGCATGTGTATCTTGATGCTTGGCAACTAAATGAACAAGTCCCTGCATGTTTTTGGCAAGGTTTTTTTTAAGTGGTTTGCTCCTGTCATCTTAGGACTGAGAGAGTTGATGGACCCAAGCTCTGCACATCCTGGTTGGTAATCATGAAAGGAGTCATAGACTGACCAAGCCAGATTCAAAACATGTATATGTATATGTCTTGTTTAATTAAGCAGACAATTAGCTGCTGTCTCAAGCAATTTGGAAGAATATGTGAGGTAGCACTATCTAGTGCTGTTTTGACTAAAACACATTTTAATTTTTAGTAAGAAATATCAAACTGATTATATGTATGTCACACAGAATAACTAATGAACCATGTTTTAATTTAATTTGTTAAGTGAATTCAGTCTATGTGGTGGGTTTGGTTCAGTCTGTTGTGCAAATTCAGAAGATTAGGTTAATTGGATAACTGATTCTCTTTACCATAGGTAAACTCAGTTTGAACACAACTTTAGGACTCTGTTCATAGATCTATATAAGATGTAATCTAACATCTATAGAAGATGTTGGAAAAGGAGTTTGGAGGTCTCCTAGAAAGCTGGAATAGTAATAGCACTTAGATTTGTATACTGCTCCATAATGCTTTACAGCACTCTGAGCAGTTCACAATGTCAGAATCTTGCTCCCAATAATCTGGGTCCTCATTTAACCAACTTCAGAAGGATGGAAGGTTGACTCAATCTTGAGCCTATCAGGATAAAATTCCAGACACTGGCAGTTTGCCTGCAATACTGCATTCTAACTGCACCACCAGGACTCTTGACCAGGGACCATTGACCATCACAAATTACTGTCCAACCCAGTGGTGGGATTCAATTTTTTTTTTTACTACCGGTTCTGTGGGCTTGGCAGGCGTGGCTTGATGGGCGTGGCAGGCGACGGATACTAGTTTAAAATCCCCATTCTCTTCCCTCCCCACGCTACTAACCTGCTTTCCAGCTCCATTCTCCTGTGCAGGGCAACAAAAGAAGACCCAGCCAATCAGCTGGGACTCGGGAAGCAGAGAATAGATGGGGGTGGGGCTAGTCAGAGGTGGCATCTCTGAACTACTCAAAATTTCCGCTACCGGTTCTCCAGAACTGGTGAGAACCTGCTAAATACCACCCCTGGTCCAACCTTTATTTGAAAATCATCAGTGATGCCTATTCCTTTGCTTAATAGCAACCACATTCAGGAAATGACTCATTTACTCCTTATTTTGAACCTGAGTCTGTTTCTAAACTACAGTGACTGTTGAGTCGGGTGCCACCTATCTTGTATTTCCACATCTGGTTTTTCTTGTCTTAGTGCAGGGCTGTCAAACTCGTGGCATCACGTCATATGATGTATCTCGACTTTTTCCCCTTCACTAAAATGGCGTGGGCATGGCCAGTACGTGATGCATCCGGCTCGTGGGCCATGAGTTTGATGCCCCTGTCTTAGCCATGTATAACTCTGCATTTCTTCTAATTAAACTGAATTTTACTGGAAAGAGGCCCAATGTCTTTCAGGATCCTTTTGAACCTTGAACCTTCATGTAGATAGCTGCGGAGAATAGCTGTGCAGTCCCAGGAAAAAGTGTGGCTGTTTTGGGGAACTGCAGTTAAATGCTGTGTGAGTGCCCTGTGGGATTTAGGAGTTTGATTTTTATTCTCCACTAGCACAGCAAAGAAAAGAAGAAATTAATATTTTCTATTTTAATATTTGTTATATACTTATTTATGTAACATAAATAACAAGCAAGGAATGCAGAATCTTTTCTGATGCTAGACTAAAATATATAGTCAATTCAAAATGGATAGGATATGAGACTAAAGCCACCATGTGTGCAACAGGGCCATACAATGGACAAAGGGGCCAGCTTCCCTGCTCAGCAGGGCAGCGTCAGGGAATTTAAAAACCGGCCTTAAGGTTCGAATCCATGTATGTGTTGGATGCAGTATGTGTATGTATTGGGAATTATACCATGTAATTAAAATTATCTACCATGGATTAGCCCGTTTTCTTCTTTTCTGTATCATCCTTCCTGACCTAAGCTTGGTGCTCTCAGTCCGCTCTGTTTGGGCTAATGAACACTATACTGGTGTTTCAATGTAGAAAATTGAAACTCAGATCTCTATTTCTCCTATTCTCATTTAGTGGAGCAGTTTTTCTCCAAGGTAACCCGATACGTGAAGCATTTTTTGGGTTTCAGATCGGAAATATCAGCCCTAATAAACATAATATTCTATTATTTCTATGTGAAATAACATTACATTAATGTAGTCTGTCAAAGGAAGATATTTCCCTTGCCAATCCCACTATTGTTTGGCTGCCTATTTGCTCTCTGCTGTACTCATGCTTGGATGACATGGTTGCTGCTCTTTCTGCTTGAAGTTTCATTTTCATCTTTCTGTCCAGGTTAATTCTTCCTGTTCCACACATCAGTTTGCTTCTTCCTGGTTAAACTTCTAACCTCCATTTTATTTGTAAGTTTTAAACAAAATTTACTTAAGCTTCATACCAGTTGGTAGATGCTGAGTCATGAGAGTATACTTGCCCTTGTCTTTAGCTCAATCTGTTATCCCACTCTAAACAAGTTATCGATATTTCTTTAATGATTACATAACAGTCTTATAATTAAATTCTGCTGATATACCTGAGCTTTTTAAAGTTTTTTGTCTTACAAGGACAACTTTAATTAGCACATGAATGTGAAGATCAGAAACCAAAGAAAATTTGCAATTATCAGTGTGGAACTAAAACATACAGTACCAAATTGGATATCCCAGAAACAAATCAACTTAGGTGGACTGGACTACAAGTGTGGCACAAAATATGTGTTTGATTTGTTGCAGGTGGCCTAGCTTTTTCTTTATTTTTTTCAAGCCCTACCATAATGTCTCGATACAAGGCTGGCTTGAGAAAAGGAAAGGGGAGGGGGAGGGGGGAGACAGGAATTGGCCAAATAAGCTATGATTGCATATGACATGCAAGAATTTTCCTAGTTTTTAAAAATTGTTCAAGAAGCCTAATTCAGGACTCAAGCTCATACAAAAATTAGAAAGGAATAAGCTCCCCCCTTTTATTGCCAACTTAGATTGAGATAAGTTATTGCACTGTATATATATTGACCATCCCTTTCTGTCTCTTAGTATGTTTGTGATATGGCTTTTTCTCCAAGTTGAGATCACCTTCTTGTCTATTTTACTCAGAAAATATTTGGTAGCATCCAGTTCTCCTGATGAATGTGCTTTATTCAATGCCTCCTTTTTTTGTTTTTGTTTTAG